ATTAGACTTATTCATATTTTAATTTTTCTGAGCAGAAGCATAATGTTCCTTAGGCTTGATCTTGCAAAACACTGGTTGCTTTGGCCCTGATCCATGATCGGAAATCATGCATGGTGACTTGTAACATGTCTGGGGGACGTTATGTCTGTCTGCATATAAATTCTGGAAAATATATGATGTGTTGCTAACATGAAGCAGTCTGTTCTAGTACTGGTGCTGGGTCAAAACAGCAGGAGCTGTGTCCAACCAAGAAAGGACCATGTCCATGAACAGCACTGTGCAGAAGGAATGCCAAAGTCTTTCTCTCAAGAAAGGGGAAAGATGGAGTTTGCCACTGTTGATGCTAATGAGCTTACACAACCTTGTTCATCTGAAATTAATGTTCTTCTGTGACTTTGCAAATGATTTGTACTACCACAGAAAAGAAAAGAGGTGTCATTCCGAAGGGATGGGGAGTTGTATTTGTACTTTGTTTCTCCTCATCTTCTGTGGGAAATACTTCTCCTGATAATGGACCCATGTTTAATGGCAAGAAGTATCATCCTTTTGCAGTCCAAGTGCTCATAGGTCCTCTTAGATTTGGCTTTCTGGATTCTCTTGTGGGACAGGAGAGAAGAAAGCTGAGAGGAGATTAGAGAGGGAAGGAGCTCATTAGTGGACAGAGTGCTCTTCTCTCTCCTTTCTTGTAAAGCCTGATGAATGCCACAAATAGGAGAAGAAAATTATAAATAAGCTCTGGCAGAGCTGTTAATACCTTGGAGTTGGGCTAGGATCCTGCCATCCAGCAGCTGAGTTGTGGCACTGTGGAGCATGGACCTGCAAATGAAGACTCCCCCTCTGTGCTGTGCTGGTTCAGCTGAGTTGAATGTGTCAGCAGGCAGCACAGTTTAATATTTATAACATGTTTTGACCAGGAATATATTCAGCCTGTTTTTAAGATGCATGGCTCTGCACGGAGGGACACCTCACATTTCTGAGCCCTATGGAAAGCTCCTGGTCCATGAAGGAAGCTGGGAGAACTTTATAGCTGGTGTTCATCCTTTATGGAAAAGGTTTCCAGCCTTGCCTTGGTTTTCCAGCAGCTGGGAGGACAACCAGAGCTGTGGGTGGGATATGACATGATTCAAAGGTGGGAGAGAACATGATATTGGGTTATGGATACAGGATGCCTAGGAATGGCATGGGCTCTGCCAGGGTGGGATCAGATGCAATTGAATCAGATGTCTTCATCTATGTTTGCTCTTGTTTACATTACCTTAGAAAATGCTTCTGCTGTTGCTTTAGGAATAAATTTTCCTGGAAGAAGTTCCCAACCGTGGGTCAGTTTGTTTACATGAAGAAAGATTCAGACAATGAGACAACATCATTATGAGCACAAATAATCATCAAATCAAGCTTTTAAAGCAGGAGACCATTTTCCAGCAAACAAACCAGTCAAAATTCAGGTTCTAACAAGAGACCAGAAGGAAAATCTCTAGCAAGAGGAGCTGAAACCTGTCTTGTTTGGATTATGTGATTAGAAATTTTACTATTTTCAGTATCATTAATCTGAAAAAGTACGTAATGTCAGCAGAAATCAGTCAGCATAGGAGGAAAATTTGGTGAGCATTTTAGGTGTTATTTCTGTGTTGGAAATCAGCTGTTAGCTGGAAAGCACACCAGGAAGTTAAAGCACTTGATATTTCATCTCTGTTGCGCAGAGAGCTGGGAGAAATCAGTGCTTTTTGGAAGGGAATTTGCATGGGACATGACAGCAGTTCCTTTCACATGAATCCTAACTTCTCCACATACAGATATGTATTTTTTAAACGTGAAATTCTGGGGGTCTGAGAGTTGTTCATAATTAAGTATGTGAAAGAGAAGTGGCTGGTAACGAGGAAGCTCTGTTTCATGTCTCCAAACAAGCATCCCCTAGATGAGATTTGTGCCTATGAAGTCTTTCCAAGTGCCTGTGCATTATTTGAAATGTAAATAAAATATTCCCAACTGCTCAGACAATGAATGGGAGGGTGAGAGCAGTCTATGAGGTGCCTAAATTCAGGGCTAAACCAGAAGATGTGGGCACAGGTCTCCTGGTTTTCTGTCTCATGACCCATTCCACACAGAATGCACGAAAGGGCAAGAGATTTGGAGGTTGCTTTCCAAAGGAGAAGTCACCCCATTTTCACCTTCATGTAACCTGCTTAGCAGCTGATGTGACTGAGCTGAAACCAGACCCCCTCCAATTTTGGTGAAAACTGATGCAATGGGAATGGGTCTAACACAAAACACAGTAATAGGTCAGGATGGGTTTTGAGATCAGAGATCCTGATTTATATTTATACTGATTTATATTTATACTTCACTATTTCCCATCCCAATAAAAAATGTAAAACAACCTTAAAATGACTGTGCAATATCAAATTCTCTCCTCTCCTGCAGAGGTCTCTAAGGACAAACCCCATGAGAGGCTCTGTTGAGCGAGGGCTAAAGAAGAGCCAGGGGATTTAGGCTTTGTCTCGGAAAGAGTATTTCAATGCATCACCCTGAATGAACTGCTGCCAGAGCTGCCAGCCAGTCAGTGATTTCCTCAGCAAACCTCAGAAACAGGTGAAACACTGGGCAGGGCTTGGAGCATCATTCAGCTGGACTTTTAAAACAGCATTCCCTGTAATAGGATTAAGTGGCAACAACCACTAGGGGAGAAGGCTTGAAGAGATTTCGTGAGGCATGCAAGAGGAAGGATTAGCAGGAGATACAACAAAAACGGATGCCAGGAGAGTGCACTTAGTGCTAAGGGCAAGTGGTGCCACGTGCGGTGCACGCGCCGGGTTGGTTAACCTCTGCACCTCTGCTCCAGGGCAGCCTGGACTCACCTTCTTCATCCACAAGAAAAATCCCTGCACTGTGCCTAATGAGATGTCCCACTGTCACTTGGACACCAGCTTGTGCTGTACGTTAGTACAGACATGGTCCAGGGCTACTGGGGCTGGCGGCTGCTGGGAGCGTGGACAGCTGTATGCACCAAAAAGAGACTATTTAAGGCCACTTCTCCTTTGCAGTCTGGTAGCCATGGAGTGATTGTTGTTTCAACTACTCATAGCTTTCTCACCTCAAAACGTTCTGACAGGTGTGACAGCAAATTCATGCAGCAAAAATAGTTATCTGAGTGGGGTCCCAGAGTCATTCTTTTGCTTCCCTTTTGATTTCTGAAAAATTAATCTGCTAATGCATTTGTTCCCCACATGACACTCTTAATAAACTGTGTGAAAACATATTTTCCCCAGCCAGTGGAATAATCTGAAGACCTGTGAGTTTACATTCTCTTGTGGTCATGTTTTAGCCATGGATATTGAACTTAAGTAAGAATTGTAAGTGTGCCCTACCTGATGCATAGTCTGTGCTTTAATGTCACAGTCTTTGTGAATTCACTGATTCAAGCTGGGTGAGATCTGAGCTGTTGACAGTCTACACCCTCATACCTGAAAAGACTTTCCAGCATACAAACATGAGGCCACACCACGTAACTTCAGGCATTATCAAATACTGTTTGTTTCCTGTAGAAGATGGAGGTTTGTGTTCCTGGAAACCACATAGCAAGAGTCAAGGGCCTACCAAACCAAGGACTTCTTGGAGTTTCCTAGCTTTGTAATTTGATATATGGCTTCCAATAAGCAGAAATCCTGCTATTTTAAACTTAAAGAACAGCTCAGCTGGCCATTCTTCCCACTAACCATCTCAGATCCTTTCACACTATTTCCCTTTGTTGATCTAAATGCATCCTTCCTATATTTGTCCACCAGACTGGGACCTTACTGGTGACAAGATTGTCATGGTGATGGGTACCTCTTGGCATCAAAATAGCGAAGAAACACTTTGAAATGTCCTTGTTAACAGCAACAACAGCAACTATAGTATGCACCAAAGTGCTTTACATTAGCAAATTTTATAAAAGCAAGTAGTAATAGGATAAGGGGGAATGGCTTTAAACTGACAGAGGGGAGATTTAGGATAGCTGTTGGGAAGAAGTGCTTCCCTGTGAGGGTGGTGAGGCACTGGCACAGGTTGCCCAGAGAAGCGTTACTGCATGCCCCATAAGTAAACAGCTCCAATTGATGCTGCTTCTTGTTTTATCCTGAGACTGAGTTTTATCCAGAGAAGTGGCAAATGGCCCTGGAGTTACGGGTTGACCACTCTAGTGAAACTTTGACAGATTGAGAGCATCTCATTGCTGCTGACACGTGGATGGTTGCACATGACTGCTCTGAGATGCTTATTCATCCTGTTAAGGCTGGCTATAGCATAATCTTCTTGGCAACTCTGGGCCAGGGACATGAGATGTCACACAACCCTTCAAACTCAAGGAGATGCATCTACAAGTTGGCTGAATGTGGATGCAGCTGGCGAGCTCTTGTGGCATGCTGCAGGTTATTTTGGGAGGCACAGCCATGGAAAAATGCTGAGAACTCTTGATTTGATCACTGCTGCTGTCCCTTGTCGGCTTTGCAGAGTTCTGCTTTGCATCCACAAGTGCTAACCCATACTTCAAAAGCACAATGTTTTCCACTGTGTCTGTCTTGCTTAAAACCTCACAGAGGTGGCTTATACTGCTCCATACTAGGTACAGGCTCCTCATCCACATCTTAGAGGCTTGATAACTCTCATCCCACATCTTAGAGGCTTGATAACTCTTATCCTACAGATTTATTTGTGTAGCCACCCAAATCAGACCTCTTCCACTACTACTAAAGAGGCGCAATGCAGGCCATGTGGCTAGGAGCCTCCCCTGAAATCAGTTTCATATACTAATACATTATTCCCCGTCCCAAATAATCCTGAAGAAACATGGAACCACACAATGATACAATCTAAGTGGACTTCTCAGTGGTAGAGGAGGTGACCTGAATAATGTAGTACAACTGCTCCATGTCAGAGATGAGCTGCATCCTGGCTTTTTGACTGCCCTTTTATGAGTTCATGCCTAAACCCAGGAGACAACTGTCAGAGTCATGCTGTGTCCATATTATCAAGAGCTTCAAAACCAGGTGGACACATCCCAACTGCTTTTTGGGATTGGCACTTGTCCTGCTATGCTGAGCAAGACCTTGTTCTGTTACTGTAAGACCTACTGATATAGAAGTCGGGTTTGAGTTTTCCATCTACATCCTCCAGGTGCCATTTCTGATTCCCTGCACTGAACCCCATGTCTGGGTTTTCTTTCTGTATTTCTGACTCAAAGATCTCTTAAATGTACTTTTCATGTCATTGCAGCCTCTACAGACGGTTATACTTCAGACACATCCCCAAATATCAATATAGCAAAAAAAAAGAAAGGAAGTGAGAAGGAACACATCTCTTAATGATGTAAAAACCTTTTTAAAGGACTGCAGTTGGATATTTTTTAGTATAAAGTGACTCCTTTGGGACCTACCCTTGGTATAAACTTGTGCTGATATACTCTAATATCTAAAATAAATCTGAAGTTGAGGTTATCCTTTTGAGCTCAATCTTATGAAACATGGAGTACCATCCCACCTGGAACGATCATGTTTCTTTATTCCACCTCTGGGTGCAACTGAAGATCTTACTGACCTGTTCTATAAGGCTGAACACTATGTACCCATCTTTATAATGCTTCTGTTGTGAATGTTGGAGGTGGCTCTGACACTTGACTTTTCTCTCATGAGAAATGTGGACTACAAAGATCTTCCAGAACAGCCTCTTCTTATAAATAAATACATTTTCAACAAAATTCCCTTGAAATGTGACAAGTACTTTCACCTGTTCACTGAAGTGCATATCATAATATCTGTACCAACATTAATGTATAACTTAAATACAATACAAACCTCCCAACATAATCAAGGGTTTTCTCAGTGCCTTCTGTAACAGTTAAATGAGCCCTGGTGCCATTCAAGTAGGAAGGCCTGATTGACCTAAATGTTAATGCTCATGTTTCTTCAGAAACCTAACCTTCTGAGTTCACTGCTGCTTGACTTCAGTCATTGCCCATAGGTTCGTGTGGGTATGGGACTTCTGTCTCCATCACCCAATGCCTTGGGCAGCTACAAATTGGATGTAAGACCTGAACATCGTGTCCTTGGGGACCAGCATTCATCTCGTGGCAGGCTCTGTCAGAAACAGTAAATTTAATGGCTGTTGGAGCCCAGTGGTAAATCAGTAGCATTACCCTGGTATGGCTTGACCTGGGACAAGTAGCACTGAGCTAAGGGGCTGTGAGCAATCTGATCTAGTTGATGTCCCTGCTCATGGAAGAGGTTTGGACTTTAAAGGTCCCTTCCAACCCAGCCATTCTATGATTTGATGATTCTATGAAATAATCCCTAAATCCAGATTAGCACAGGTTAGTGATTGTTCTTAGTGTTTTGCTTGGGTGCAACCACCCTGTTTAGGGGTACAAGGGGGTTGGCAGTGCAGATGTGGCCACATCGTTCCAGCCATCCTGGGGCGAGAGGACAGACCTCAGTGCTGTTTATTTTACCAGGACAGATACAGCCCTTAAGTTACCATTCCATTTGCTGGTATCCAGCCTGTTATTAAAGTAGCCATCTTCCTCTGCTAGTGTGCATTTGTTTTGTCATAGGCTTCATCTGTATTTTCTAAAGCTGTGCTCTAAGAAAGTTGTAATTGGAATCTTGAAATTTAATTTAGTGGTTGCCTGGTTGTCGGACAGTTTTTCTGCCCATTGTAGGCCAGACATAATCACAGAATCATAGAATCGTTAGGGTTGGAAAGGACCTTAAGATCATCCAGTTCCAACCCCCCTGCCGTGGGCAGGGACATCTTATGCTAAATCATATCACCCAAGGACTCGTCCAACCTGGTCTTGAACACTGCCAGGGATGGAGCATTCACAACCTCCCTGGGCAACCCATTCCAGTGCCTCACCACTCGAACAGGAAAGAACTTCTTCCTTATATCCAACCTAAACTTCCCCTGTTTAAGTTTTAACCCGTTACCCCTTGTCCTATCACTACAGTCCCTGCTGAAGAGTCCCTCTCCAGCATCCCTATAGGCCCCCTTCAGATACTGGAAGGCTGCTATGAGGTCTCCACGCAGCCTTCTCTTCTCCAGGCTGAACAGCCCCAACTTTCTCAGCCTGTCTTCATACGGGAGGTGCTCCAGTCCCCTGATCATCCTCGTGGCCCTTCTCTGGACTTGTTCCAACAGTTCCATGTCCTGTTTATGTTGAGGACACCAGAACTGGACACAATACTCCAGGTGAGGTCTCACAAGAGCAGAGTAGAGGGGCAGGATCACCTCCTTCGACCTGCTGGTCACGCTCCTTTTGATGCAGCCCAGGATACGGTTGGCTTTCTGGGCTGTGAGCGCACACTGCAGCCGGCTCATGTTCATTTTCTCATCGACCAGCACCCCCAGGTCCTTCTCCACAGGGCTGCTCTGAATCTCTTCTCTGCCCAACTTGTAGCTGTGCCTGGGATTGCTCCCACCCAGGTGCAGGACCTTGCACTTGGCATGGTTAAACTTCATGAGGTTGGCATCAGCCCACCTCACAAGCGTGTCAAGGTCCCTCTGGATGGCATTCCTTCCCTCCAGTGTATCAACCGAACCACACAGCTTGGTGTCATCAGCAAAGTTGCTGAGGGCGCACTCAATCCCACTGTCCATGTCAGCGACAAAAATGTTGGACAAGACCGTTGAACAAGTGCAGTACAAGTTTATTGGCTGCTGGATATCATTAGGGTTGGTTTTGTTTTGGTTTTGTTTGTTCTTTTTTTCCATGACACGTGTACATACTCGTTTTTGTGACTCTTGTCTATGGGCCTTAGTGTGTTGAGTTGTGCTGATACATGGGAAAATAAAGAGAAATGGTGAACAAAATACCTCAAAATTGAAAGGCCAAGCAGTGGTTGAATTAAGATAAAATAACAACCTCAGCCTTAAGGTTGTCATATTGCTAATAATATATATTCTGCCAAGACCAGGAGGGGGGAAAGAGGAGAATGCTTGAGAGATGGATAGAAGCTGATGTTAGAAAAGACTCTGCAGCAGAAACAAAGTTATTTAGGGTCTGCCTGTGTGCGTGATCTTCACTTTGCTTGTACTGAGATGAAATCACCTCCAGTGGATGTGGCAGCCCTGGTCAAACGGGTCATGATCACCTCCTCTGTTTATGCTGGCTTGTCCATAGCCAGACTCCCTTCTTGGGAGGATCAGCTCAGGGCATAGATGAATGCACATCTGTCTGCACCCATTTCTGTTGAAATGCCCATAGAAACCCCAAGCAGCCATATAGTAAAGTTACCTGGGCTAAAGTGTGTTTTTCAAGCCTACATTCAAACTTGAAGCACAGGGAAAACCCATGTATTTGGGCTGCTCCTGCTTTTATTATGTAGCTGTAAGTCAAAATAGAACACCCCTCCCCCCCCCAAAAAAAAACCAAAACCCAAAAAGGAACCACCACAGAACCAGATATGTTCAATGTAAATGCCTTTAAGAAAAAAGTAATCTAAAATTAAAAGTGAATTCATGATGATCCCTATTACAGTTTAAATTTATTAATAACCACTGAAATCACAAAGTACCAACAGCATCATTTAAGCAGTGACTATTTGTGAGCTGCTGCTTGGGAGCCTGACCTAGGCTTAGGGGAAGGGTTGATTTGGGTTTTGACAAAAAATACTATTCTGTGGGTGCAAATAGCGTATTTTCTTTGGTCACTGACGCCAGCACTATAGCACCATGTGAACATATTCCCAGCTGGAGGGCTGCTGTGAATTTTGTGGAAGATGCCCAGATCCTTTGGAGAAACTCAGCTACAGTTCCCTGGCAGCTACCTGCTCCTGCCAGTGGTCCTCAGTTGACATTATCTCCTGGCTTCACCTCTGATTGCTTCTCTGTCCTCTTTTGCTCTCTGTTGGAAGCCCTTTCCCTCTGGCAGATTGATGATGTAATAGGGGGTGTCCCCAGTGGCTCTGCTGCCATCTGTCCCCTTCCCATTGGCACAACCCAGAGGCACCACCACTTTGGGGTGGGTTTCCTGAGTGCTTCCAGGGGTCAGGTTTTCCCTTTAATGACTACTGCGTGGAGCAAACTTCTCTCTTGGTGGGATGCAAGTACCTGAAAACTGTGCCCTACCACAGCACAAAGCGTCCTGCCTAGTTAAGACACAGCGGATACAGGGAGTCTTCCCCTTTTCTGTAGGATCTGCTCCAACCTGCTATAAAAATAACTTATTCCAAGATGCTCTGGTCCCAGGAGGGAGCAGAAGACCAAATCCTGGTTTCTCTTCTGGCCTCATCTTTTATCCATCCCTGTGGCTTTTCTATCCCCTGGCTGCTGCTAATCAGCATTCCTCTCAAAGAGCAGCTGCTAATTTGCTGGCAGTAGTGAGTGAGTGCGAGTGTGGGGAGGTGGTTGGGGTGACGAAATGACATCTTCTCGGCAGCTCCTGCCCAGGCTCCTGCCTCCAGCATCACCAAAACACCCCTTTTCCCAAGCTCAAAGCCTCTGTGGCAAAACAGATTCAAGCTGGTGTCCTGAATCCCACTGATGAAAGAAAGGCTGTTTCATAGCACTTGCATTTTAGGTAGAAAAAAAAAGTATTTGTATGTGTATATGTGTTTGTGTGTGCGTGCATGTGTGTATATATAAATACGTATATATATTTTCCCCTCTGAAACAACTTGCTTCCCTTTGGGAATAAAGGGGATCTTTAAAAATGCAAAAATTCCTTCCAGACAGTTTGTCATGTCTTACTAGAAACAGCCGACCCTATTAGCAATTTAAATGATGTCTCCTATTAGCATAATTTTTAATGAAGCAAAGCACGTGTTTCACATTTGTGTTTTTGATGCAGTGGGGAGGAGGCAGTTGGACACTCAATGAATGTAGTAGGAATTGGCTTTGAGGAGACCAGGAGTAATGATGCAATCCTTTGACAGTGACTCAAGCTGGTGCATGAAATTCAGTATTGGGTGTGAATGTGTGTGTGTTAATGGTCCCCTGCTAAGGCAGTTGATGATGTCCACGTGGCCATTGTAATGGACTGGTCTATAGACAACACCTCCTGTTTCAGTGTGACACCATGTAGATGCTTATATCAGGATTAACACTGCACACACTTGACATGCACACATGATTTCTGAGTCTTGGCTGGGACCTTATTTCAGATAGTCCTCTGCAAGTGCGTTTTTGCATTACAACAGTTTTCCCCAGAATCTATCTATAATTTGCTGGAAAACCTTCACTGACAAAAAAGGCCATGGGAATAACCCCCCACCGCTGCTGGTCAGTCTGCCAGATTTTTAGATGCAGGTGGAGTGAATGGAGAGGCATGTGGGAGTTGTGCATGTGTGGCTTTGCTCCTTAAGCAGCAGGTGTGAGATGCAGTGTGGGCATCCTGAAGGTCTGTGAACTATTTCTGCTGGTGAATAGACAAGCAAAGTCATCTCTATTGTGTGGCCAGCTTCTCCAATGAAAACACAAACAGAGTCCACTGGAATATTTTTGGGGTTCAGAACAGATTGCAAATTGCCCATTGTTGGATGCGAACATAAAAACTCTGGTTTTCATTTATATCTCTTTTTTTTCTGTTTTCTCCCAGAATCTGGGAATAGCAGGATTTTTCTTCCCTGCTGCCATTCATAAAGTCTTTGGCAGATTTTAAAAATGATCCAGAAACTTTCTCAGGCCATTGCCCTACAAGCCAGGCTGTGATTGCCACCCCAAGTCCTCCTTACCCACTTGGAAGTCCAAAAGGGACCAGCAAACCCAGAAACACAGATGCAATAAATGCTAAATAAAATCACTTGCCACCCCAGATCTGTTAT